ATATTATTCAAAATGGAGGACATTATGCCGAGTGAAATAGACAGACACAAAAGGATTTTTGTTTTCTTGATGTTGAACTGCAATCCATACAGAGGACTACAATCCTTGATCTTCTGCAGCAAGTACCTCAGGTCCTCCTCACTTTCAGCAAGCAAGGTATCTAGGGGTTACTAACAGCACCACTCACATTTCCACTCCTTGATTCTTGAACACAGAAGGCCTAGCTACTGGAAAAACAACTCCATAGATTTGCATATACAGTCTGCTAGAAAGCACTGCTCCAACCATACTTTAGAAGACTATTCCATCATCCTATCATGCCAGCTACTTCAGGTTAATGAGAGAAACACTACTACCAGTGAATTCCATAAATATGAGTCCATAGTCATACTTAATTTCAAAGTGAGTACTTTTTTCCTAGGTTATGGCATTATGGCTACCATAAGAGGGAATATGACATTCTCCAAGTTCATACACCATGGCCTTGGCAGAAGCCTTGTGTACAGAGAAGGTAAACAAGTATCTAGAGTAAGTGTCTGTTCCAGCAGGAATAAAATTGTGCCCTTTCCATCCAGGAAGTCATCCAATGTAATGGACCCACCACCAAGTTGCTAGTTGATTACTAGAGAGATGTTCCACACTGGGGACTCAATGTTGTTCTTGACCGCTGGCAGACTGAGCACTCATCATGGCCACTGTAGTTACTCTTAGTCTGTGAGAGTCCATGTTGCTGAGCAATAAGGGAAGAGAAGCAAGTAATCTGAGAAAGGTCAGGAGAACAGGTGTTCTCAATAAGAATAGTTCTTCACCTTCACTGATACTCAAAGCTAGATCATGGGAAAGACAAGGATAAGATGATTGTCCTCTCTTTTGAAAGTGGAAACTGAAACGTAATGGAGCTGGGTGACTAACAGCATCTCCACACACAGGCTGTCCCATCAGCTTCAGCAGAAAATATCTGGGTGCATCCCAAAGGTAATAAAGGAGGTCAGAATTGCTTCCACTGTGGAAAGCTGGGTCTCTTCAGTGGACAGTGTCGCAGACGAAAGCCACAGATAGGCAAGGGAGTAGAGAGGAAGCTCCCATTCACTTGCTTTAAGTGTGGCTCTGAAGGACACTTGGCCAAGGTGGCCCACATCAGGTCCTCGTGGCTGACAGGACTGACAGGCCCCAGCTCCCAGCTGGAAACAAAGGAGGACGCTTCAACGATTTAGATCCTCCCAGAAGAGCCGTGGATGAGCATTAACATTACTGGTAAGTATATTCATTTTCTCCTGGACACAGAGCCTACTATCTGG